TTTAAAAATTCAGATTTCTTAAAAAACATTTCCTAAAATTCTCGTTTCTTAGAATCCACATTTCTTAAAAAATCCACCTTTCCTAAAATCCACCTTTCCTAAAATTCGCATTTCTTAAAATTCATATTTCCTAAAGTTCACATTTCTGAAAAAATCCACCTTTCCTTAAAAAATCCACCTTTCCTTAAAAAATTCACCAAACCACAGATAAAAATCTGGAGACCTCAAACCTTTTCTTCCCTCCCTTCAACTTTCAGCTTTTGTTTGATGCCAATTTTGGCCCTCAAATGAACTTGTTGCAGTCCAATATTTCCTTTGATGTGACTCAGTGTCAGCTGGGAATTGTTTTATCCCCATTTAGAGCAGGAAAATATTCGCCACAGTTTTGCATTTCCAAGAAATCAGTTCAGCAGCACCTTGTGCTTTGATCTCAAAACCATTTTTCCTCTGCAGTGGTTTTAATTTGAGATAAAAAACGGTTTAAATTCACAGAGTGAAGGTGACTGAGGTGGGTGGGGTTTTTTTTGTTATACTTCAGATAAATATATTTTTTTCCCCTCCAAGCAAAACAACACGTGAAAAATACAGATTGTTAAAAACCATTTCACTGGAAACAAAAACAAAACAAAAAAAAATGCAGCCAGAGACAAAATAATCTCCTTTAAATTGAAATTGGAAAGTGGTGTTTAAAGTACCTGTTGGATTTCTGGAGCCAAACTGCTGCTTGAAAGAACAGAGATTAGGAGAAGATATTTTCCTTCTGTGAAACTTTTGAAGGCTGAGAAAGACAAACTGTTCCCAGCACTCCAACAAACAATTCCTTCAGCGGAATAAAATGTGTTATTTAAGGTGCTGGATGTTCTTTGGGAAAGTTCAAACTCTCGTTTTTTATGGGGCACAGCTCGAGAAATCTCTCATGTGATATTTTAGTGATATTTTAGTGTTGGAGCTTGTCTGTGAAAAGGGGAAGGAGCAGGACAGCTGAGAGTTCTTCCCTGAGATCTTTTGCTTGTTGGGATTTAAGATCTTGAGGATTTTCCTGCTTGTCTTGAGGCAGCTGAGGATCTCTGGGAGATGTTTGTGACAAACGCCTGGAAAAGGAGCTTCGTCGGGAATTCTCCAGTTCTGGCTGAGAGGAGTGTTCAGGGAGGGGACGGGGACATGTGCAGGGAAAGGGGCTGCAAATGTGTCCTCAGGAGGCTCAAAAAACATGGAATGTTTGATAGGAACAGGCTGGGAGAGCTGGGGGGGCTCCCCTGGAGAAGAGAAGGCTCCAGGGAGAGCTGAGAGCCCCTGGCAGGGCCTAAAGGGGCTCCAGGAGAGCTGGAGAGGGACTGGGGACAAGGGATGGAGGGACAGCACACAGGGAATGGCTTCCCAGTGCCAGAGGGAATATTGGGAAGGAATTCCTGGCTGGGAGGGTGGTGAGGCCCTGTCCCAGGTTGGGCAGAGAAGCTGTGGCTGCCCCTGGATCCCTGGAAGTGTCCAAGGCCAGGTTGGAGCAACCTGGGCTAGTGGAAGGTGTCCCTGGTGGAACTGGAAGGTCTTTAAGGTCCCTTGCAACCCAAACCATTCCAAGATTCCATGAAATACTCTGCTCATGCTCTTACACTTTTCTAATAACTAAAACTTGGTAGAAATGCTTGGGAATAAAAGGCAAACATGGAACCCTTGACATAGAGGGTTTTTTTCCTGAATTTCCTGCTGACTCTTCCTACAGACCTGAATTGGCCATTCATGGAAGGAGAAAGTGCCTTGGGCTTCCACAGGGGGAAAAGGAGCCCAAAGCTGTGGATTTATTAACTACAAATGCTTTGGGATTGTCCTCAGATGGGTCTTGGGAAACTAAAGAGCAACTGTGTCCTATAAACCTGTTGGTGATGGAGGGAGAGGGTGCCAAGACATTCCTGTGGATTGGAAGCTGTGAGGGTGGGGAGGCCCTGGCAGAGGTTGGGCAGAGAAACTGTGGCTGCCCCTGGATCCCTGGAAGTGTCCAAGGCCAGGTTGGAGCAACCTGGGCTGGTGGAAGGTGTCCCTGCCCATGGCAGGGGGTTGGAACAAGATGATCCTTAAGGACCCTTTCAATCCAAACCATTCCATGACTCTGTGATTTGATTGGGAGTGGGTTGAATCCCAGTGGATCTCGTTTCTGGGGTTCCTGGTTTTGCAGATCCCTCCCAAGGATTCAGGGAGGGTGTCCCCTCAGTCAGTGTCCTCTGGCATGTGGGGCTGAGGTGCTGAATAATTGCAGGAGGGTGTTTGGCTCCTGATCTGAGCTGGAGGGAAGGAGGGATGAAACTCCTATGAGGAAAGGGTGAGAGAATTGGGATTGTGGTTTGGAAGCTGTGAGGGTGGGGAGGCCCTGGCAGAGGTTTCCCAGATCCCTGGGAGTGTCCAAGGCCAGGTTGGAGGAACCTGAGCTAGTGGAAGGTGTCCCTGCTCATGGGTTTTGAGCTGCTAAGAATTAAACCTCCGAATTAAACCTCGGAATTTCCCTCCTAAATTCAGGACCCTGAATTACCCCACCTGTATTTCCTGGGTGCCAAATGCTCCCCATTGCCTTTCCCTCTTTGTGCCCCCCTTGTTTTCTTCCACTCTCTTTGCTGTATTTTTCCACTCCTTGTGCTTTCTCACTTCTTCAGGAAGTTCGAGGAGTTGTAGCTCTAAATTTGCACTGCAAACTCCTGTGGATCATATGCCACCCGGCTCATTTTTGGAAGGATGACACATAACAGGCACAATAAAACATGTGAAAGGCTCGGGGAGATGAGTTTAGAGCAACTTCTGTGCTTGCTTTCGGCTGTGGGAGTTGCTCTGTGTTACTTGAGGCCGTTGAACTGGCACGTGGTTTAGGGAAGGGATGTCTTGGGATCATCCCTGTGCTTGGAACAGCTCTGCTTCCGTGTCCTTGTGTTCTCCCACAAACCCTTCTTGTCCATCTCCAGGAAATTCAGGCAGCCAAATAAACTGATTGACAGGTTTAACATAGATCAGGGCACCAAAAAGTGGAATAATGATCCGGCCTTGGCTGGAATAGTTCGCTGCTGGAATGGCATCTGGGATGTGGAAAGGCTGGAAAATCCTGGTGTGGAATTCTTGTTTATTTAGAGGAATGTGTTTGGCTGATTTTTATTGCCAAATCCCAGCTAGTTGATGAGGATAAAAACTTCCAGGGAGCTGTGTTATTAATGGAATACACTCTTGCTGCTTCCACAGTTGTTGCAATCTCTAGGAAAAATAAATAAAGCCTAAATTTTGTTGCCTTTTTTTTTTTTTTTAAAAATGAGCTTATCTGGCCCATCTCCCTGGCAGCACATTTATCTCAGATTTGCACCTCAATGGAAGTGCTGGGATTTTAAATGACACTTAAACTGAGAAAATTGTGTCCACGCTTAAAATCCTGGAATCCTTGAGGTTGGAAAAGATCTTTAAGATCATCAAGTCCAACCATCAACCAGCACCCCCGTGTTCACCACTAAACCATGTCCTCAAGTGCCACACCCACATGGTTTTGGAAGACTTCCAGGGATGGGAACTCCACCACATCCCTGTTCCAGTGCTTGATAACCCTTTCCATGAAGAAATTTTTCCTAATATCCAAACTAAACCTTCTCTGGTGGAAGTGGAGGCCACTTAAGAGGTTCCCTCGTGCTTCCTGGCATGGAGTGTGCAGGAGAGCGTGGAATTTTGTGTCAGGGATGGGAATAACTGTGATACCTGTTTAATTAGTGCATGTCCATGTGAGGGGAAGCTCAGTTCAGGTGGATCATTCCCTGAACTTGCTCCAGGGCAGCACCAGTTGTGGTTTTTGGATCAACACTGACATTAATAAATTGCTGTCAGTGGTAACTTCAGGTTTTCCCACATTTATTCCTGGTTTTTCTCTTTATACTCTGAGAGTGGCAGGATTTCTGCATGTCTGGGGGGTGGTTTTTTATTCCTTTTTTGGAGTGTGGCCTTTAATCTGGAGATATTTGCATTTCTTCTCTTCCAAACCTCTTCCCCTCACCCCAGGCAGGTGACGTGCTGCAGAGATCCACTGCCAGCACTTGGGAGCTTCTGTTGGAATTAGAAAAGGCTTGGAAGCAAAAGTGCTGTCCATCCCTCCCTGCTGATCCCTCCACGTGGGATTTCAGAATGGAGGGAAGCTCCACATGTGCTGCCATCCCAAAAAAACCCTCTGACCTGGGCTGGTCCCCCAACGTGGGCAGCAGGGGAGGGGGGGATTCTGCCCCTGTCTGAGGTGAGACCCCCCTGCAGAGCTGCTCCAGCCCTGGGAACAACAGCACAAGGACGTGGAGCTGCTGCAGAGAGTCCAGAGGAGGCCCCGGAGCTGCTGCCAGGGCTGGAGCCCCTCTGCTCTGGAGCCAGGCTGGGAGAGCTGGGGGGTTCCCCTGGAGAAGAGAAGGCTCCAGGGAGAGCTGAGAGCCCCTGGCAGGGCCTGAAGGGGCTCCAGGAGAGCTGGAGAGGGACTGGGGACAAGGGATGGAGGGATGGACACAAGGAATGGCTTCCCAGTGCCAGAGGGCAGGGATAGATGGGGTATTGGGAAGGAATTTTTGGCTGTGAGGGTGTTGAGGCCCTGGCCCAGGTTGGACAGAGAAGCTGTGGCTGCCCCTGGATCCCTGGAAGTGTCCAAGGCCAGGTTGGAGCACCCTGGTCTGGTGGAAGGTGTCCCTGCCCATGGCAAGGGGTGGAACTGGATGGTCTTTAAGGTCCCTTCCCACCCAAACCATTCCACGGTTCCATGTTTGTAACAACCATCAGCCAAACCCACATGAGCTGATTTGTGACTGAAATGATGATAAATGTTTAATTAGTCCCTCAGCAGATGAATTCCATCCCTTCCTGATGAGAGGCTGCATTACTGACAGCTCTCCTCTTCCTTGGAATCCTCCCATCCAGATTTTGGAGAGGGTGGGAAGTTTTCCACACAACCTCTGTGAGCTGTTCTCTGTTTTCCAGGATCCCTGGGTTTGTGGTTTGGGAGCTGCCTCTGAGTGTCTCCATAACCAGGATCAGGACACAGAGCGTTTCAAAGCTCCAAGATTCCCACGTGTCAGACCCCTCCAGCCCACCAGGACTCGGGAGCTTTCAGAGCCCAGCTCAGGACAAGCTGTGCTGTTCCATAGATCCCATCCCTCCGATCGCTGCCTGCTGAGGGACATGCAGCTGAAATCCTGGAATGCTGCTCCTGGAATGCCTGTGTGCAACCAACACCCAACAGCCGCCCCAGGCCATTCCCACAGCGTGGCTGAACTTTACCCACCACTGGAATGGGATCCCTGTGCAACGGGGTCTGATGTACAAACAGAATTCCTTGTGCCAGCTCCAGAGGTGCTGCCGGCGGAGAAGAGCTCGGAAGGGATGGGAAAGCCGATCACTTCCATCACCTTCTCATCCCAGAGACGCCTCCAGTCCCCACTGGGTTCCCAGGCACTGGGCAGCAGCCTCTCCAGGGATGGGTTTGATGGGATCACACCTTTGGATGTCGACTCTGCTGCCACTGAGGAACAGAGCCATGACACACAGCACTGGGAAAGATCCAGCACTTGTCCTGCAAGTCCAGTGCTGGCTGGCTCCATCTTCCAGGAGGTTAATCCTGCAGATCAAGGCAGGGTTCATCCCATCTCTGCTGACAGGGACAGAGCTGGAGTTTATCAGGACACAGACTCTTCGTCAGCTCAGGATTCTGGGAGTGTCCATGCTGGGAAAAGACAGACTCCCAGTGCAGAAAAATGTGATTTTTTGGCCCAGGATGTGGGTGAGTTGGGCAGGCAGAGGGACATGGGGTTCAATCAGGAAAGAAATCCGTTCATTGAACCCCATTCCCTGAGCTCTTCCCAGCAGGAGAAGAGCAGCTCTGGCCACATCCAGCTCAGTGAGAGCTTGGAAAGTTCAACTCCAGCAGAACAAATGGATTTGCTCCAGGGTCGGAGCGAGCTGGGAGAAGAGAGGAAAAGTCCTGCTGAACCACCTCTCATTCCAACAGAGGTTGGGAGGGAGCAAGTGGAGGCATCTCACCATTCACCCCCAGAGGTTTTATCTGCCGCATCTGCAGCTCTCCCTTCACCAACCAAGAAATTCCTGTCCTGTGTCCACATCACCCTCTCCTCCAAGGTCCGTCACGTGGAGCTGCCGAACGTGGAAAACGGGATGAAAGTGGGGGATAAACCCGAAGTTCAGACTCAGTTGAAAGCTCCAGAAGATTTAAGAGAAGCTGCTCCCGAATTACCACCCTCTGACCTTATTCCACAAGGTCCAAGATCACCTTTCCCAGTGGCCTCAGCAGATCCCAGCCGGGTGTTTTCCTCTGGGCGAGAGCTGGTGCAGCAAAGCAGTGAGAGACCTCAAGTCCCTGCTCTGGGGTCAGGGGGGTTTATTCCCAAGGATCTCTCCAGCTCTGTGCTTCCTGCAAAACCTGGGAGGAGGACTTCAGAGGCTGCCACTCAGATCACCACAGAAGGTCCTGAAAAAACCACCTTTTCAGCAGAAATTTATGTTCATCCCCAAGAGGGTGAAGGTGCTGCCCAGAAACCGCCTGAACTTCCCAACGTTACATCCCATAACGAGATTCCCCCCTTCCCAAGGCAGCCTGGTGAGCAAATTCCTGCCTTTTTTATATATATACTTTAATCTGTTCAAGTTCAAGACATCTATAGGTATTAAAAACCAAAAATAAACTCATTTTTTGGTGGAAGTAACGTTTTTGAGATATTTTGGATATTTAAAGTCGCTCGTATGGGGGGGAAAAAACCCAACCCTTAAACTTGGGTTTTTCAGTTTTGTGGGAAGGGATTTGTATGGATAAAGTTGTGATTCAGATCAGGTTTATCTAGAACCGAGTTTAGTGTGTCCTGTAACCTCAGTTTTTTAATTAAATCTGATTTAGTGATTAAATTCTCTGACGTTTGTGTGGAGATAATTTGATTTGAATCACTGCTTGGAGTTTATCTAATAGAGATAAATCTAATTACTGGTTTGCTCTCTAGTCAAGGTAATACAAAAAATAAGAGGGAAATATGCACAGTCCTGCTTTTAATGAAAAAAAGGCAAATAATAGAATAATTTTAATAAAAAATTAATAAAATAGAAAAACATGCAGGGAACGTGGATGTTGCTCAGTGGTTTTCCACACCAGTGGGAGCTGGGACTGATGTCTCAGCACATTGATTTTATTGACTTGAGAGACAAATCCATGCTCCTTTAAATTTATTTCCTTAACCATGGATCAGCTGGGAGCTGTGTGGGTACAGGAGGTATTTTTTTAAGTCACAAATTTCATATTGAACAGGTAAGAAAGCTGGTTTTTTCGAGGTTAAGTGATGGTCAACCTCCTACCTTGGAGTGGGTATTAAATAATTCAGTTAATTAGATAATTCAATGAAATAATAGTTGCAATTTCTCCCCACAGCTCAGCCCTTGCTGGTGCCATACAAACCTTCTGGAAGCACTGGGATGTATTATGTCCCTTTCCTAAAAGGAGGAGCCAAAATGTCTCCAGTTGAGTCAGAAACCAGTGGTGGGAGCTCTCACTCAGGTACTTATTTCTCTTGGGTTTTCCATGTGCCTGTAATCCATGGATATAACCCCAAGGTGCACAATTCCTGCCTGCTTTGGTTCCCATTCCTTGGATGAAAGGGATGTTATTGCTCCATTCTGGCAGTGGAAAAAAAAACCAACAAAACTTAATATTTTAGCTTGATAATCCTTTCTTTTCCTCTGGGAATTACTGCTCAGTTTGGATTCTTCCCAATCCCTGCCAGTTCTCCCGGATCACTTGGGCATTGCAGGTTTTATTTACGAGTTGTTTTCACTCAGAGCTTTTGAAATATCCAAAGTTATTTGATCCAAATAATATTCAGAGTTCATCTTGGAGTTGTCCAGTTCCTGAATTCCTGACAGCTGGAGCCCGAGGGAGTAGATTGAGACAACATTCCAGCCACAAATCGGGATTGGGATGGTTCAGGTGTCTGTGCTCTTGATCTTTTCCAAGTTTATCTGGTGACACACGTCCAAAATGAGAGAAACAAATGTGATGCAAATCTGTTGTTTTGCAGAAATGAGGATGCCAGATATAAAAATGCCACATGCAAATGAAGCAGTGGAAGGTTCTAGGAAAGTGGAGGGCAGGATTACAAAATAAAACTTGTTTTTCCACCTCCCTGCTGCACTGGGGGTTCTCAACTCGGGAGCAGGAGCGGAAGGAATGGAGGGGAATAAATCCCACCTGCTGGGATTGACAAGGATGAGGAATCAGGGGGAGCAATTTTAGGTTTCTAACATTATGAGGCAGTGATAAAATCATGGAATTGTGGAATGGTTTGGTTTTAAAGACCACCTAATTCACCCCCTACCGTAGGCAGGGACACCTTCCACTAGCCCAGGTTGCTCCAACCTGGCCTTGGACACTTCCAGGGATCCAGGGGCAGCCACAGCACCTCTGGGAAACCTGTGCCAGGGCCTCCCCACCCTCACAGTCAGGAATTCCTTCCCAGTATCCCACCTAAATTTCCCCTTTTCCACTATGAAGCCATTCCCCCTTGGCCTGTCCCTCCATCCCTTGTCCCAAGTCTGTCTCCATCTTGTTGGCCCTTCAGGCACTGGAAGGCCCTGAAGCCTCCTCTTCTCCAGGCTTGAAAAATCCCAATTCCCTCAGCCTTTCCTCGTAGGAGAGGTGCTTAAAGGACCATCCCCTTCCACTAGCCCAGGTTGCTCCAAGCCCCACCCAACCAGGCCTTGGACACTTCCAAGGCTGGGGACTTCACAACCTCTGGGCAGTGATGTCAGGAAAGCTCTGCTGCTGCTCTCCTGAGTTCCTGTCTCGGGGGTTACACAGACCTATTCCAGTCTCCCAGTTGTTCTCCATTGCCATTCTGAGCTTGGAAAACAGACATTTACATCAGGCAGTGGAAATGGCTGGAATTTTCATGGGAGCAGGAGGGAGTCCGGACATTCCAAATCCTGTGTCTGCTTCCAAGCGGACTTGTTACAACTCATTTTTTTTCTGTTCTTCTCTAAGTACAAAAGGTAAAATCTTATCTACTTCTCAGGGAAGAATTTTGTCTCCAAAACCAATGTGAGGCAATCCCTGCTGCTGCTGTGAGTCACTAGGGATCATCATGGAATCATGGAATGGCTGGGTGGGAATGCACCTTAAAGCCCATCTCATCCCACCCCCTGCCATGGGCAGGGACACCTTCCACTATCCCAGGTTGTTCCAAGCTCCATCCAAATGGCCTTGGACACTTCCAGGGATCAGGATTGTTGGTTAGGTGTGGAATTTCTGTCTCTTGTTTTTCCAGCTTCCTGTTTTTCCTCATCACTTTTGCTCTTTCTCTGCAGGGTCCAACGATGCTCCTCCTCCAAGGTTTCTGCCCCACGTGCCTGGTTTGAGGGATGAGAATCCTCCAGGAACTGCAGCTCTCCAGCAGAAAGAAGGATCCCACAGTAAGAGGGCCAAGCCTAAGCTGGCCTGGGCTGAGGAGCAGAGGATACCCCTGGAAAATTCTGCAGGTACATCAAGTGTGGTTTTAATTTCACATCTGTTTTCATGCACGAGAAAGAAATGGGAGCTAAACAATTACGTTTCAGGATCTGTGATTTCTGATCCTGGGATGTTCCTGATGGGCTGCCAGGAAGTGCTAAATTTGACTCAGTTTTCTCTTCCTCATCTTTCTGCTTCTCCCTGACTCCCAAAATACAGGTTGCCCAGAGGGATTGTGGATTTTCCGTTCCTGGAAGTGTCCAAGGCCAGGTTGGAGCAACCTGGGCTAGTGGAAGGTTTCCCTGCCCACGGCAGGGCTGGAACTGGATGATCCTTAAGATCCCTTCCAACCCAGACCATCCCATGATTCCATGAAATACTTGACCATTAGTATTTGTCAGCAGTCCAGTGTCTCCAGAGCTTATTGGAGTGTAAAAAATGCCAGGAATTCCCTGGTAAACAAACTGAGGGATGACTCCATGTTGGGATGAGGGTTGTGTTCCTGCCCCCAGGCATCTGATGCCTTGTGATGTCCTGTCAGGAATCTCTGTCACCTTGGTGTTTGCCTGAATTTTAACTGGATTTTCTGCTCTCTGTTCCATCCTTCCATCCATTAACCTTGTTGGATGATATTCCTGAGGGATGAAGGTCAGGATTTTCCTCTGGAGTGGCCACTTCATTTGTTGGGAATGCTGACAAAATGGAATTAGGCCGAGCTGACTGGTGGGTTTGACACTTTTATCTCGTGACAGCAGCTAAAATTAGTCCTCATGGACACTGTTTTTGTACTAAACCTCATTTTTGAATGGCTGATAAAATTCCTGGAATCTGAGCAGGGATGAGGATTTTTATTCCTGGACAGAGAATTGCTGAGTGATTCCTCAAAGCAGCTCTTAATTCCTCAGGGATGATGTTTATTGCCTGGCACAGCATTTTGATTTTAAGTCTTTAATGACTTTGATCATTTTAATGCTTCTCTTCAAGGAGGGGTTTTTTCTTCAGAGCTTTCCTTTTCAGCGTGGAGGGATTTTAGTTTTTCCAAGGATAATTTTTATTTGCAGCAGAAAATTTCCAATAAGGCTGCAACACCAATAACCTGGAGAAAAATGAAAGGGGGGATGAAAATGCTCCTATAAAATTAAGTAATGTTATTTTCTGCATTTTTAATTATTAAAAAATATTTTACATTTTTATTACTTGATGGTCTAAAAGCCCAGGTAAGAAAAGAACTGTAAGGAGAAATAATATTTGATTTAGACCAACCAGTGCAGTTGGAACTTAAAACAGGTTTTCAGAAGACTTGAATGTCTTAAATCTTCCCTGAACTTCTTCAGCTGTATTTTTAGATGGTCTAATAAAAGATTACCTCAACCCACAGAGCTTGTCTAGAGCTTAAAATTATCCAAGTTATGTGTTGTTGTTTTTTTTTTTTTTTTAAATAAACTTTCTCTATATAAACTTCTTTTTATTTTTTGCCTGTTTACATTCCTTCCAGTCGGTTGGGAACTTTGCAAAAGTCCAGGAATAGCAGAATTCTGCCTGGCATTCCCAAGCCTGAGCTCATTTGTCAGGAGGATCGTGGGGGAAGCTCTTACACAAGTCCATAACCACTGACCTTGTATGGGAAGACAAATTCCAGCGATTCCAGACTTGGTGGGATTGGGAATGGGAACGTTGTCCACGATCTTGACATTGCACCAAAGTCTCTGTTGGGAAGAGAAGGGATTTTATAATTCACTCCCTTAGACAAAGAACATAAAACACCTTTTTAAACTTGATTTTTTTTAATATTTTATTAAAAATTACTTTTTTTGGAGCATAATCCTGTGTATTCCCAAAGAAACTGTGGCTACCCCATCCCTGGAAGTGTCCAAGGCCAAGTTGGAGCAACCTGGGATAGTGGAAGGTGTCCCTGCCCGTGGCAGGAGGGTTGGAATTAGATGGTCTTTAAGTTCCCTTCCAACCAAACCCATTCCATGATTCTAAATAAACCCATTTAGTTTCTAAATAAACCCATTTAAAATGTGGCTCAGGGAAATTTTCCCTTATATGGGAAAACAAATTCCAGCGATTCCAGACTTGGTGAGATTGGGAATGGGAACGTTGTCCCTGATCTTGACATTGCACCAAAGTCTCTGTTGGGAAGGGAAGGGATTTTATAATTCACTCCCTTAGACAAAGAACATAAAACACCTTTTTAAACTTGATTTTTTTTAATATTTTATTAAAAATTACTTTTTTTGGAGCATAATCCTGTGTATTCCCAAAGAAGCTGTGGCTGCCCCATCCCTGGAAGTGTCCAAGGCTGAGTTGGAGCAACCTGGGATAGTGGAAGGTGTCCCTGCCCATGGCAAGAGGGTTGGAATTAGATGGTCTTTAAGTTCCCTTCCAACCAAACCCATTCCATGATTCTAAATAAACCCATTTAGTTTCTAAATAAACCCATTTAAAATGTGGCTCAGGGAAATTTCCTGAGGTGTGATGAGATTCCTCCTTCGGATTCTCTTGGATATAATATTCTCTTGTTGAATATTTTATATTCCGTTCTATATTCTGCCATTGGAAATGATAAAAAAAATATCATTTATGTACTTTTAACAATGCTGAAACCTAATTTCTAAGTTTGTTGCACTTCAGGAATGGTTCAGTGATCCTGCTATTAATCCTTTGGATCCATTGGAAAGTTTTAGGATGAAAATCATCCCGTTTATTACTTGATTACTCCTGGTAATCTATCTGTTTCCAGATCCTGGATCTGCTTCCTGGTCACCTACAGCTCTGGGATTTAACAATCCCAGGGGTGCTGGTGTGGATTTGACTGGATATCGTTCCCAAAATATCTCTGAGCAAGGATAAATACAATTATTATTGGAATTTTCTGGCTGTTTGTCCAGTTTAAATGCTGGAATTATTTGGAATTTTTGGAATTCTTTGGGATTATTTGGTCTGGCTGAGTGTTAATGGTAAACTGCTTCAATTTAATTAGTTTTAGACTTATTTAAAACCTGAGAATTCCAGGTGAAAACTGGAATTTTAAAGGAGAGAAAAGAATTCCTTCATTGAATTTGGCCATTGCCCTTGGAAGAAGGAATAAAAATATCCTTAAAGAGGGATTTGACGTGGATTTGATGTAAAAATTCCAGAGTTTTGGGGTTCTATAATAGCCTTTAATGCTAAAAAGTTCAGGAATAAACGAGATTTCCATGTGATTCTTCGCAAAGAAACAGAGAATTCAAGTGTGATTTTTTTTTCTCTTGTAGAGCACAGAGATCATTCCAAACCTGGAAAAACCACTCATTCCACCTTCAAATCCACACGGTTCTACCTCCACCATCCCATGCCCACGTGTGACACCAGCGAGTTCTCCGAGGACAGTTCCGGAGTGGGAATTGCTCCCCCTTCCTCCAGCGGTGCCTGGAAAAAACCACACCGGCATCAACGGGTGTTCTCTGCCCATCACAGAAAAAGGGGGAAAAGGGAGTTCTTTGCACTCACTGCAGAAGCAGATGAGAGTAAAAACGAGGATCTGAGCGTTGGGAATGAGACCTCGGGGACGGAGCGAGAAGCAGAACAAGGAGCAGCTGGGAATTCTGCTTTGCCACGGAGCCAAACAACTCTCCGGGATGGGAACGTGGAGGAACCACCAAGGCACAGAACCCACTCCAGTGGGAGCTTGGATGAGCTGTGGGTTAAGTTTCTGGAGAGGCAGAGGAGGCACCAGCAGCACGGTTTGAGGAGTACCGGGGAGCTGTCCCTGGTGGAACGCCTGGATCGCCTGGCCAGGGTCCTGCAGAACCCCATCCAGCACACGCTGGTCCCGGCAGAAGCCGGGAGGAACGTTCCCGAAAGGCAGATCAAGGGAAGGGAGCAGACAAAAACAGGATTGGGAGAGAACAAGGCGTCCGGGAGCGTTGTCGGAGAAAGAGCGCGGGACGACACCGGGATGGCGGAGCTCAGGGAAAACGGGGCGGGAGACACAACCATCCTGGAGGAGCAGCAGCACCGCTGGGAATCTCCCAGCGACAATTCCTCGGAGACGAGGCTGAGCGGAGAGCACGGCACCACCACCACCACCACTTCCAGCAGCTGGGAGTGGGACACGCCGACGGAGCCGGGAAGCGCAACAGAGCGGAGCAGCTCCGTGTCCACCATCGACACGGCCAGGCTGCTCCGGGCCTTCGGGCACCACAGGGTCACCGTGTCTCCCAGGGTGTCTCCCGGGGTGTCTCCCGGGGTGTCTCCCAGGGTGTCTCCCAGGCTTTCCCAGCTCTATTCCACCATTGGCCTCCAGAAGAGCCGCTCGGAAAAGCGGGATGAGGGAAGCGGCGAAGCGGCGGGAGCGGAATATCCGAAGGTCGGCGCCGAGAGACACAGGAGGAGGAAGGAGATCCAGGTATGGATCAGTTAAACTAAAACTCGGGTTTAAATAGTCCTCTAGTCTTAGTTTATTTGGGAATCGTGTAAAAATTCCCAGAGAGTGTCGTTTGTATGGAAAGCTGCTTCTCATCCAAGGACCTCCAACAAATGTCTTTGCTTTTCCGGGAATCAGGAAAAGCAAAATATCTTAAAACGACAGTTGTGGGGGTTTTCCCTTTGTTTTTCTTGGCTTTTTTTCCTCTTCCTTTATTTCCTGTGGGAAGCAAGATCCTGGATCTGCTTCCTGATCCTGGTGATCTGCTTCCTGATCCTGGTAATCTTCTTCTTCCTGATCCTGGTATCTTCTTCCTGATCCTGGTGATCTGCTTCCTGATCCTGGTGATCTACTTCCTAATCCTGGTGATCTGCTTCCTGATCCTGGATCTGCTTCCTGATCCTGGATCTGCTTCCTAATCCTGGTGATTTGCTTCCTGATCCTGGTAATCTACTTCCTGATCCTGGTAATCTACTTCCTGATCCTGGATCTGCTTCCTGATCCTGGATCTGCTTCCTAATCCTGGTAATCTGCTTCCTGATCCTGGTATCTTCTTCCTGGTCCTGGTATCTGCTTCCTAATCCTGGTGATTTGCTTCCTGATCCTGGTAATCTGCTTCCTGATCCTGGATCTGCTTCCTGATCCCGTTAATTTGCTTCCTGATCCTGGATCTGCTTCCTGATCCTGGTATCTGCTTCCTGATCCTGGATCTGCTTCCTGATCCTGGTAATCTACTTCCTGATCCTGGATCTTCTTCCTGATCCTGGTATCTGCTTCCTAATCCTGGATCTGCTTCCTGATCCCTGATCCTGGATCTGCTTCCAGGTCACCTGCAGCTCTGGGATTTAGCAATCCCAGGGATGCTGGTGTGGATTTGACTGGATATTGTTCCCGAAATATCTCTGGGCAAGGATAAATACAATTATTATTGGAATTTTCTGGCTGTCTGTCCAGTTTAAATGCTGGAATTCTTTGGAATTTTTTGGGAATTCTTTGGAATTTTTGGGGAATTCTTTGGAATTTTTGGAATTCTCTGGAATTTTTGGGGAATTCTTTGGAATTTTTGGGATTCTTTGGAATTTTTGGGATTATTTGGAATTTTTGGGATTATTTGGTCTGGCTGAGTGTTAGTGGTAAACTGCTTCAATTTAATTAGTTTTAGACTTATCTAAAACCTGAGAATTCCGGGTGAAAACTGGAATTTTAAAGGAGAGAGAAGAATTCCTTAATTGAATTTGGCCATTGCCTTTGGAAGCAGGAATGAAAATATCCTTAAAGAGGGATTTGATGTGGATTTGGTGTAAAAATTCCAGAGTTTTGGGGTTCTATAATAGCCTTTAATGCTAAAAAGTTCAGGAACAAACGAGAAATATGGAAATATTTCTTTATTTTTTTTTTATTACCAGCAGAAAGTGGTTTTGTCATCATTATTAGTAGCTTGAATTGAAATGAATTATTCCATTTTTATAGAAATAAATTAGGAATGAAAGCTCAAAGTCTGGGTGGTAAATGATGAAAACGATTTGAAAATAATTTGGAATGAAAATAAATGAAAAAATAACACAAATACTTAAATCTGGGTGAGAAACAATTTTTCCAGGTGAGAAAAATGCTTTAAAAATATTTGAATTAATGTTTTTGTGACATTTATTTAAAAGGAAAAATAAAGCTGCCCTAATTAATATTTTTATTTATGACATTTATCTAAAGGTGAAATAAAACTACCTTAATTAATATTTGTATTTATAACATTTACTTAAAGGTAAAATGAAACTGCCCTAATGAATATTTTTATTTAGGACATTTACTTAAAGGTAAAATAAAAATATCCTAAACTTTGCAGCCTTAAGACCATTCACAGTGACCATCCAACAATTAAATTATCCAACATTTCTGGCCTGATTATAATATTCAGAAAATTATTTCATTCCACATTCCATTGATAAAATTAATATTTCAAGGTCTGTTTGCACCTTAAACCTAAATCTGATGTTTCTTGTGAGAAAATAAATTGAATTCATACTTCAAAAATAAAGGCTCATTGAAGGGCATTGAACCCCCATGGCTTTAAAAACTCAGATTTTTGTTATCTCCTGATGAAAAATTAGTTTAAAAAATCCCTATAAAGACCCACGTGGCCCAGGAGTGAGAGAAAACACAAGAAAAAATAAGAAAAAAATAAGAAAAATAAGAAAAAGTAAGAAAAATAAGAAAAAAATAAGAGGGAAAAATAAGGAGTGAGAGAAAAGAGATGGAAACCCAACGAATTTAATTTAAAATGCAAATTTTTCTCATTTCTCTACCGCTTGGCTGCAAAAAAAATCAAATTTTATTCACATTTTTAGCTGCAAATCTTTGTGTTTTGGAGGCAGAGAACCTTTCCCTGCTCCCAGAGAAATTCCTGCACCGTTTTTTTAGGGAATTGCTGCATTTTGGAGCTGAGGTTTTTTTGATTTTGGGTTTGTTGGGGTTTTTTTTGACAGCCCATTGTCAGCTTTGCTTTTTTTATTTATTTATAGCAGGCAAAGGCAGCCCAGAAGGTTTTTATCTCTCCCAGTTTCTGCCATCTGGTAGCAGGTCCAGAGCTAAAGGTTGTGCTGAAATCATGGAATATTCTCCTCCAAACGGGAATATTCCTGTCAATATTCAGGATTTAATGGCTGCAGGTAAATGGGATATTTGGGATTTTTTTTTCTCCCTTATTTTTTTTTACTCCTTTTTTTTTTGTCTCTGAGAAAATATTCAGTTTTGGTTCTGTTTAAAAAAAAAAAAATCCTGGGTTTATAGGAGTAAAAATTTATGGAATTAAAAATCCCCCAGATTTATTGGAGTAAAAATTGAGGAAATTTCAAAAAAAATCCAGGTTTATGAGAGTAAAAATTAAGGAAATTTCAAAAAAATCCCCAATTTAATAGGAATAAAAATTCATGAAATTAAAAAAAATCCTGAATTTATAGGAGTAAAAATTTACGGAATTTAAAAAATCCCAGGTTTATAGGAGTAAAAATTTATGGAATTTAAAAAATCTCAGGTTTATAAGAGTGAAAATTTATGGAAATTTAAAAAAAAAAACAGGTTTATGAGAGTAAAAATTGAGGAAATTTAAAAAAAATCCCGGATTTAATAGGTATAAAAATTCATGTAATTAAAAAAATCCCTGGTTTGTAGGAGTAAAAAGTTATGAAATTTAAAAAAATCCAAGGTTTAGAGGAGTAAAAATTAATGAAATTAAAAAAAATCCAGGGTTTATTGGAGTGAAAATTAATGAAATTAAAAAAAAATCCAGGGTTTATAGGGGTAAAAATTTATGAAATTGAAAAAAATCCTGGGTTTATAGGAGTAAAAATTTATGGAATTAAAAATCCCCCAGATTTATTGGAGTAAAAAGTTAGGAAATTTCAAAAAAAATCCGAGTTTATGAAAGTAAAAATTTAGGAAATTTCAAAAGAATCCAGGTTTATGAGAGTAAAAATTGAGGAAATTTAAAAAAAATCCTGGATTTAATAGGAATAAAAATTCATGAAATTAAAAAAAAAATGGTTTATAGGAGTAAAAAGTTATGAAATTTAAAAAAATCCAAGGTTTAGAGGAGTAAAAATTAATGAAATTAAAAAAAATCCAGGATTTATAGGAGTAAAAGTTTATGAAATTGAAAAAAACCAGGTTTATAAGAGTGAAAATTTATGGAAATTAAAAAAAACCCAACAGGTTTATGAGAGTGTAAATTAATGAAATTAAAAAAAATCCTGGTTTTATGGGAGTAAAAAGTTATGAAATTTTAAAAAATCACGAATTTATAGGAATAGAAGTTCATGAAATTAAAAAAATCCCTGGTTTATAGGAGTAAAAATTTATGAAATTTAAGAAATCCCAGATTTATATGAGTAAAAATTTATGGAATTTAAAAATCCCAGGTTTATAGGTGTGAAAATTTATGGAATTAAAAATCCCCCAGATTTATCGGAGTAAAAATTTAGAAAATTTCAAAAAAAATCCAGGTTTATGAGAGTAAAAATTTAGGAAATTTTAAAAAAATCCCCAATTTAATAGGAATAAAAATTCATGAAATTAAAAAAAATCCTGAATTTATTGGAGTAAAAATTTATGGAATTTAAAAAATCCCAGGTTTATAGGAGTAAAAATTTATGACACTAAAAAAAATTGTGGGTTTATAGGAGTAAAAATTTATGAAATTGAAAAAATCCTGGGTTTATAGGAGTAAAAATTTATGGAATTTAAAAAAAATCTCAGGTTCATAGGAATAAAAATTTATGACATTAAAAAAAATCCTGAGTTTATAGAAGTAAAAATTTATGAAATTTAAAAAATCTCAGGTTTATAGGAGTAAAAATTTATGACATTAAAAAAAAATCCTGGGTTTGTAGGAGTAAAAATTTATGGAATTTAAAAAATCTCGGGTTTATAGGAGTAAAAAATTATGCAATTAAAAAAAGATCCCAGATTTATATGAGTAAAAACTTATGAAATTAAAAAAAAACACACCTGGGTTATATAGGAGTAAAAATTTGTGAAATTAAAAAAAAAAGCAGGTTTATGAGAGTAAAAATTTATGAAATTAAAAGAATCTCAGATTTATAGGAGTAAAAATTTCTGAAATTAAAAAAACCAGGTTTATGAGAGTAAAAATTTATGAAATTAAAAGAATCTCAGATTTATAGGAGTAAAAATTTCTGAAATTAAAAAAAAACAGGTTTATGAGAGTAAAAATTTATGAAATTAAAAGAATCTCAGATTTATAGGAGTAAAAATTTGTGCAATTAAAAAAAATGGGTTTATGAGAGTAAAAATTTACGAAATTAAAAAAAAAAAGGGTTTTTAGGGTCAGATTTGCCTCCTTTTAATATTGCAATAAAATGCTGTTTAGCATCGAAGTGGTCACAGCAAAACCCCAATAAAAGGGGGATAAAGAAGCCTCTGTTCCTTTCCATGGAATTAGGAATTACCCCCAGGATCCTAATGGGATCAAGTGGGAAAAAAATTCAGTGCCATAATTAAAACTGGAGTTGGCTTTGAAGCCTGGGGAGTTGCTGCCAGTTAATTACTGTTAATTAATTAAACCCCGACCCTCTCCATGATTTAGAGACGGGAAAGGTTGGCCACCAAATTCCTGCTTTTTTGAAATGGCTTTATCAATTAGAATTAATTAGAATTAATTCATTTTATCCATTTCACCTCTCTGCTTTCCCTGGGGGTTGAAGGTCTGAAATTCCTACTTGACCTCAACCCTGCTCATTCCACGCTCCTGTAATTCCATGGATTTCTTGGGTTTGGTTTTCCCCCACCTTGGAGAACTTGAGGGGGTGGAACTTGTTTCGTAAAAACATGGAATGTTTGGATGCCAATGATCCAGAACTGGAATTCGTTGGGAATTCACAAAGCTACACTTGGATCTTCCAAGGCAGTTTGTTCCCTCTGGAAAAACCTGGCAACCTTGGAAAGGCCTTTGGTTGGAGAGGCCACGGATACAGGATTCAGTTCAGGTGTTTATTCTCCCTCTTTCCAAAGCAGGAATATTCCATGGAAGTGCAACAAGTGGTTTGGCCCCAGCGAAGGGGTTTTGTTCATCTGTTGTCCCGTTGACTTTGGATGTGGAATCCTGGAATGGTTTGGGTTGGAAAGGACCTTAAATATCATCTTGTTCCACCCCCTGCCATGGGCAGGGACACCTTCCACCATCCCAGGTTGCTCCAGCCTGGCCTTGGACACTTCCAGGGATCCAGGGGCAGCCACAACTTCTCTGGGAAAGTCATTCCAGGGCCTCCCCACCCTCCCAACCAGGAATTCCTTTCCAATATCCAATCTCTATATTTATATATATATATTTATATATTTACAATATATATTTAATAGATTTGATACAAAACCACTGCCAAAACTATTTATATATCTATTTATATATTTGCAATATATATTTAATCAATAAATTTGGTACAAACCCACTGGCACTGCTGTGGTTTAAGCCACAAGTGGCACCTGAGCCCTGCTGGCTCCATCCCAGTGGGATGTGGGAAAGGGTGGGAAGGGTAGAAGTGAGGGAACCATTGGATTGAGATCCAGGCAGTTTAACAGGGAAAGGAAAACAAGGGATTCACTCCCCAGTTCCAGAATCCTGGAATGGTTTGAGTTGGAAGGGATCTTAAAGATCAACTTGTTCCAGCCCCCTGCCATGGGCAGGGACACCTTCCACTAGCCCAGCTTGCTCCAACCTGGCCTTGGACACTTCCAGGGATCCAGGGGCAGCCACAGCTTCTCTGCCCAACCTGTGCCAGGGCCTCCCCACCCTCCCAGCCAGGAATTCCTTCCCAAATCCCATCTAAATCTCCCCTTTTCCACTATGAAACCCTTCCTCCTTGTCCTGTCCCTCCACCCCTTGTCCCCAGTCCCTCTCCAGCTCTCCTGGAGCCCCTTCAGGCCCTGGAAGGTTTCCCTGGAACCTTCTCTTCTCCAGACACAACATCCCATAGGAGTTGGAGGATCTCAGCACTCAGAGTCTGATCCCAGGCAGGCTTTTTCCTACAGAAATAACATCCTTTTCCCTATAAAATGGGATGCTGGAAGTGCTTTGGTGCACAAGGCTGGCACAGCAGAAGGAGCCCCTGATCAACACCTGGATAACAACAGGATCAGGCCACAAGAAGGAAAATAAAACACAACCATCACTTTTTTTTTGCTGTTTAAAACTCACTTTCCGGTCATTTGGGTCGGAATTTCAGGAATTTCCCATCTCTTTCCTCTTTTCCTAGAGCACCATCACCTTCTCCTCAGATTCCACCTGGGCCAGCAGCACCTCCTGGGGTCCCAGCTCTGCCCTCAGCACCAAGAGACGGATCCGGATGTTGGACAAAGGGATCCAGGCAGGTGAGTCCCTGAATTCCCAAATTCCCAGACTCTGGCCAGGTTTTCCTCCTGCCCTTCCTCTCTTTGGAAAACCACTCTCCAAAGTCTGGGCGTTTCTGGGGATCTGTCTGTACAAGCAGCACCCTTCAAATTCACTTTTATTTTAAATTTGCACATATAATCCTTTCTCTAAACCGTTTCTTTTCCATCCTTGCTGTGCTTTAATACCCAATTTTCTCACTTTTAAACTCATCAACCTCAGCTTTTGAGCCGTTTCAACAACAAAGGTGAACCAACTGTCTGTTTTAAATATTGTTTTTTTTTTTTTCCTCAAGACATCTGTTGCTCCCAGAATGGGTTTTTGCTATTTCAGTGTTCCATGTTCTTCCTGCTAATATTTGGGATGGTAAATTCTATTTAAAGCTGATCCTGGCCCGGTGCAATTCTGCATTTGGGGGTGGGTTTTTTTTGGTGCCAATTATCAGTTTCTTCACTGCTTTCATTTACACACCAACTCCCCATCATCACACTGAGGCATGGCCTTGTTTTATTCATCAAATATATCAGTTATTTATTTTTTACTGCCTTTTTTTTCCCCTCTTTGCAAGTGGATTGAATCTGAAAAATATTTTCACAGGCCATAGTTTGGATTGAATCAGAAAAGCGTTTTCCTGGCCCATGGTTTGCTCAAGTTTAATTCCCACTCCCCCTTATAGATATATATTTTGCTTTGGGTTATATATATATATAAAAAAATATATAAATAAATATATATGAATAAATATATAAAATATATAAAAATAAATATATAAAATATATAAATAAATATATAAATAAATGTATAAAAATATATAGAAATAAATATATAAAGATAAATATAAATAAATAAATAAATATATAAGTAAATATAAATAAACATATATAAGTAAATATATAGATAAATATATAAAATAAATATATATAAATATAAATAAATATATATAAATATATATAAATAAATCTATACATAAATATATAAAATATAAAAAAATAAATATATAAAAATATATATAAATAAATATATAGATAAATATATAAAATATATAAAATATATAAATAAATATATAAAATATATAAAAATAAATTTATAAAAATATATATAAATAAATATATAAAAATAAATATATAAAAATATATATAAATAAATATATAAAATATATAAAAATAAATATATAAAAATTTATAAATAAATATATAAATAAATGTATAAAAATATATAGAAATAAATATATAAAGATAAATATAAATAAATAAATAAGTAAATATAAATAAACATATATAAGTAAATATATATAAATATATAAAATAAATATATATAAATATAAATAAATATATATAAATATATATAAATAAATCTATACATAAATATATAAAATATAAAAAATAAATATATATATAAATAAATATATAAAAATAAATATATAAAAATATATATAAATAAATATATATATATATATTTGGGTTACAGCACTTTGTTTTTACTCTCATTATCCCCCCCTAACAATCCCGAGTCACTGGAAACTCTCCTTGAGTTGGAAGCGGGAATATAAAACGTTTTGACTTTTGAAGGTGGGGGGGAAAAATCAAATTATTGTTCAGCTTCTAATTAAAATTAAGGGTCATCCCCCCTCCAAGCACTTTGTGTGGTGCTTCCAGCTGCTGCGGGGATAAAAAATTCCTGCTTTTTGTTTGGAATTCCAGGAGACCTGGAGATTGTGAGCAGCGCCACCAAGAGGAACACCCGAGATGTCGGAGTGACTTTTCCAACGCCGAGATCCCTCCAGGCAAACCAGAGGCCTCGGGAATCCTGGCATGGTGTCCATGGTAATATATATATATTTATATATATATATATTTATAATATATATTTACTGAAGAAAATTTATACAAAACTATTGCCAAAAATATATATACACATATGTATTTATATATTGATAATGTCTATTTAAAAAAGAAAATTTACACAAAACCACTGTCAAAATATTTTTATATATTTATATTTATTTATATATATTTATAGATTTGTAATCTATATTTAATGGAGAAAATTTATACAAAACCATTGCCAAAAAAAATATGTATACACATATATATTTATATATTGATAATGTCTATTTAAAAAAGAAAATTTACACAAAACCACTGTCAAAATATTTTTATATATTTATTTATATATATTCATGTATTTATAATATATATTTAATGAAGAAGATTTATACAAAACCATTGCCAAAAAAAATATATACACATGTATATTTATATATTGATAATGTATATTTAAAAAAGAAAATTTACACGAAACCACTGTCAAACATATTTATATATATTTACATTTTTATGTATATTTATATAGTTATATAATATGTATTTAATGAAGAAAATTTATACAAAACCACCAAAAATATTTATATACATATATATTTTTATATATATATTTATATATATTTATAATCTATATTTAATGAAGAAAATTTATACAAAACCACTGCCAAAAATATATATACACATATATATTTATATATTTATATATTGATAATATATATTTTATAAAGAAAATTTACACAAAACCACTACCAAAATATTTATATATATTTATATTTATTTATATATATTTATGTTTACAATATATAATTAATGAAGAAAATTTATACAAAACCACTGCCAAAAATATTTATATATCTATTTATATATTTACAATATATGTCTAATCAATAGATGTGATACAAAACCACTGCAAAAATATTTATATATATATTTATACATTTACAATATATATTTAATCAATAGATTTGTACAAAACCACTGCAAAAATATTTATATATAGATTTATATATTTACAATATATATTTAATCAATAGATTTGATACAACACCACTGCCAAAAATATTTATATATATATTTATATATTTATAATATATGTTTTATCAATAAATTTGATACAAACCCACTGGCACTGCTGTGGTTTAAGCCCAAGTGGCACCTGAGCCCTGCTGACTCCATCCCAGTGGGATGTGGGATGGAGTGGGAAGGGTAGAAGTGAGGGAACCACTGGATTGAGATCCAGGCAGTTTAACAGGGAAAGCAAAACAAGGGATTCACTCCCCAGTTCCAGAATCCTGGAATGGTTTGAGTTGGAAGGGATCTTAAAGATCATCTTGTTCCACCCCCTGCCATGGGCAGGGACACCTTCCTCTATCCCAGGTTGCTCCAACCTGGCCTTGGACACTTCCAGGGATCCAGGGGCAGCCACAGCTTCTCTGCCCAACCTGTGCCAGGGCCTCCCCACCCTCCCAGCCAGGAATTCCTTCCCAAATCCCACCTAAATCTCCCCTTTTCCATTGTGTAGCCATTCCCTGTGTCCTGTCCCTCCACCCCTTGTCCCAGTCCCTCTCCAGCTCTCCTGGACCCCTTTTAGGCCCTGGAAGGATCCTTTTAGGTGCGGATGAAGACTTGCCCACTTTCCCATTCCCAGGAAAGCTGGGCTCCCATCGTGCCTCGTGGTGACTTGGGAAGGAGAAACACCATCACTCCAAGTGTCCCCCTTCCTTCTTCCCTCAGCTCTGTCAGCTGCTGTCCCATAGTCTGGGATATCCTGTGGATCAGTTGGGATCAGCTGTCCCAGCTGTGTCCTCTCCCAGCTCCTTGTGCCCTCCCAGCCTCCTGGGATTCCTTCAGGAAAAGGACCATAGGTGGGGATGGATGTTGCACGTGTTTGTCTCCCAATCTTCGTTCTCTCCTGTGCTCTTTCAACAGGGACCTCGTGGTTTGTCCAAGGAGACGACTTGAAATCTGAATCTAGGAAAGAAAACCATTCCAGTGCCATTTCTGGTCCTGGGCCATCCTGGTTTGAGCCCTGGACCAGCACGAAGCCCTGGAGGGAACCTCTCCGAGAGAAAAACTGGGAAGAGCAGCAGCACCACGTGATTCCAGCAGCAGCTCCAGACAGAGGTGCTGGGAAGGGGCCTGTGCTGCCCTTTGTGAAGCTCACGCTGCAGGTGAGGGCACCTTCCACTGTGGGACTGCTGAGATCTCCCTGGATTTAGAATCCTGGAATGGTTTGGGACCTTAAAGCCCATCCAGTTCCACCCCTTGCCATGGGCAGGGACACCTTCCACTACCCCAGGTTGTTCCAACTTGGCCTTGGACACTTCCAGGCATCCAGGGGCAGCCACAGCTTCTCTGCCCAACCTGGACCAGCAGGATTGAGGATTAGGGATCAGGATTTAGGATTGAGGATTAGGGATCAGGATTTAGGATTCAGGATATGTCACTGGGGAATGGGGGCAGTTTTCTCACGCTGAGTCACAGACCTGGACACACCTTTTTGGTTATTAAACATCAAAGCCTGGGTTGGTTCAGGAGCCATTGGGGGCAGAACTGGTGCCTTCAATCTCTGTAGAACTTCCCAGCACAAAGCACTGGAATTATTTCAGGAGTCCCTGGAGTCCGGAGGGAACAAGGGCAGGTCCCCCTGCACTGTCCCACATGACTGCAGGCAGTGAGGAGCACGGCTGCAGGTGCCAAGACAGGTTTGGGGACAGCAAACATCAGCTCCAAGTGTGGCCCCCACGGAGGAACTGGGTCTTTAAGGCAGGGAATCATGGAATGGTTTGGGTTGGAAGGGACCTTAAAGCTCATCCAGTCCCACCCCCTGCCCTGGGCAGGGACACCTTCCACTAGCCCAGGTTGCTCCAAGCCCCGTCCAACCCTGGACACTTCCAGGGCTGGGTTTTGAGTTGTTTCAAGGGTTGTGCTGAATCTTGTGGAATCCCTTTTTGTTCCTTGTTTTTATTTCCCCTCGTGGTGTCTGCAGCTCCCTCGGGATGGGAAGTGGAGGGGCAGCACAGGCCTCTTGTCTCTGGTGCCCAGGGACAGCACCCAGGGAAGGGCTGGAGCTGTGCCAGGGCAGGCTCAGGTTGGATCTCAGGAAAAGGTTCTTCCCCCAGAGGGTGGTTGGGCACTGCCCAGGCTCCCCAGGGCAGTGGGCACAGCCCCAAGGCTGCCAGAGCTCCAGGAGGGTTTGGACAACGCTCTGAGGGACAGGGTGGGATTGTTGGGGTATCCATGCAGGACCAGGAGTTGGACTGGATGATCCTGGTGGGTCCCTTCCAACTGAGGATATTCCAGGGTTCTGTGACCTTTATAATCATTGGAAGCCTCACAAATCCATCCTTTTTGCTTCTGCCAATCTGGCTTCCCCCAATACACTTCCCCAATATTTGAAATATCTGATATTTTAGGGCTTAAATTATTCGGCTTCAGGAACCAGCAGAAATGGAGCTGGTGTGACATCGAGCCATGACTTGGTTCCGTGCTGAAATAATCCTGTGGTCTACAGAATATTTTTTATTCATTTTATTTTAATTTTGTTTTATTTGACTTTATTTCCCCCCTTTTCCCTCCATTTTCCCCCCTTTTTTCCCCCTTTTCCCCCTTTTTCCCCCCTTCTCCCCCTTTTGCTTTCCCCTTCCCTGTCCTTTTCCCCTTTCCTGTCCCCTTTCCCTTTCCTCCTTTTCCTTTTCCTTTCCCTTTTCCCCTTTCACTTTTCCCCTTTCCCTTTTTCCTTTCCCCTCTCCCTTTCCCTTTTTCCTTTCCCTTTTTCCTTTCTCTTTTTCCCTTTCCCTTTTTCCTTTCCCTTTTTCCTTTCCCTTTTTCCCTTTCCCTTTTTCCCTTTCCCTTTTTCCTTTCCCTTTTTCCTTTCACTTTTCCCCTTTCCCTTTTTCCTTTCCCCTCTCCCTTTCCCTTTTTCCTTTCCCTTTTTCCTTTCTCTTTTTCCCTTTCCCTTTTTCCCTTTTTCCCTTTTTCCCTTTCCCTTTTTCCCTTTCCCTTTTTCCTTTCCCTTTTTCCTTTCCCTTTTTCCTTTCCCTTTTTCCCTTTCCCTTTTTCCCTTTCCCTTTTTCCCTTTTTCCCTTTCCCTTTTTCCCTTTCCCTTTTTCCTTTCCCTTTTTCCCTTTCCCTTTTTCCCTTTCCCTTTTTCCTCTCCCTTTTCCCTCTCCCCTTTCTCTTTCCCCTCTCCCTTTTCCCTTTCCCCTCTTCCTTTCCCTTTCCCTTTCCCCCTTTCCTTTTCCTTTCCCCTTCCCTTTTTCCCTTTTCCCCCTTTCCCTTTCCCTTTCCCTTTCCCTTCCCCTCTTCCCTCTTCCCTTTTCCCTTTCTCGTTCCCCTTTCCCTTTTCCTTCCCCTTTCCCTTTCCTTTCCCCTCTCCCTTTTCCCTTTCCCCTTTCCTTGTTCTTATTATTTTATCCCTCTTTTACCTTTCTTTTCTCTCCGGCCCCTTAATTTCCCGTTTGTCCCCAAATCGTGATCTCCGACGCCACAGGATTTCCCACATCCCACCAACTATTCCCACAAGATTCTTTTCCCACCCTTTGGAATTTGTGGGGATATTTGGGACCCTTTGGGCCCCTGAGGGTGTGTTTTGTCCCCCCTCAGGAGGCTCTGGCCGTTCATCGCCCCGAGTTCATCTCCCGCTCCGGGGAGCGAGTGAAGCACCTCAAGCTGCTCATGGAGGAGAGGAGGATCCAGAGGGGGCTGCAATCCCAGCGGGAAGAGCCTGGGAATCCCCCCGGGAAGAGGAAGGGCTGCAGGAGTGCCAGTCACCTGCTGGCCGACACAGGTACCGTCAGGAGGCTTTAAAGTCATTCATTCCACTTTTAATTGTAATTTTTTTGTGCATTTAAACTCATTTAATGAGATTTTAATTCATTAATTCCATTTTAATTCTAAATTTTAACCCATTTGAACTCTAATAAATTGTTAATTAATTCGGTTTTCCATTCTAAATTTGAATTCATTTACCTCATTAATGAATTTTAAATTCATTAATTCAGGTTTTAATTTTAAATTTCAATTCCTTAATTTAACAAAGTTTTAACTCATTCAGTCTTTAAATTTGAATTCATTTTCATTCATTAATTTAATGAAATTTTAACTCATTAATTCAATTTGAATTCTAACTTTTAATCCGTTTGAACTTTAATGAATTGTTAATTAATTCAGTTTTCCATTCTAAATTTGAATTCATTTACCTCATTAACGAATTTTAAATTCATTAATTCAGTTTTTAATTTTAAATTTCAATGCATTTACATTAAGTTAACGAAATTTTGATTAATTCAGTTTTTAAATTTCAGTTTTAATTCATTAATTTAATGAAATTTTAACTCATTCAATCTTTAAATTTCAATTAGTTTCAATTCATTAATGTAACAAAATTTTAACTCATTAATTCAATTTGAATTCTTTTAATCCGTTTGAACTCTAATGAATTGTTAATTAATTCAGTTTTCCATTGTAAATTTGAATACATTTACCTCATTAATGAATTTTAAATTCATTAATTCAATTTTTAGTTTTAAATTTCAGTTGAGTTAGTTAATGAAATTTTAACTCATTCAATCTTTAAATTTCAATTAGTTTCAATTCATTAATGAAAAGAAATTTTAACTCATTAATTCCATTTTAATTCTAAATTTTAATCCATTTGAACTTTAATGAATTGTTAATTAATTCAGTTTTCCATTCTAAATTTGAATTCATTTACCTCATTAACGAATTTTAAATTCATTAATTCAGTTTTTAATTTTAAATTTCAATGCATTTACATTAAGTTAACGAAATTTTGATTAATTCAGTTTTTAAATTTCAGTTTTAATTCATTAATTTAATGAAATTTTAACTCATTCAATCTTTAAATTTCAATTAGTTTCAATTCATTAATGTAACAAAATTTTAACTCATTAATTCAATTTGAATTCTTTTAATCCGTTTGAACTCTAATGAATTGTTAATTAATTCAGTTTTCCATTGTAAATTTGAATACATTTACCTCATTAATGAATTTTAAATTCATTAATTCAATTTTTAGTTTTAAATTTCAGTTGAGTTAGTTAATGAAATTTTAACTCATTCAATCTTTAAATTTCTGTTAGTTTCAATTCATTAATGAAATTTTAATTCAATTTGAATTCATTTGAACTCTAATGAATTTTTAATTAATTCCATTTTTAATTCTAAATTTGAATTCATTTTACCTCATTAATGAATTTTAAATTCATTAATTCAGTTTTTAATTTTAAATTTCAATTCAATTCATTAATTTAATGAAATTTTAATTCATTAATTCCACTTTAATTCTAAATTTTAATCCATTTGAACTCTAATGAATTGTTAATTTATTCGGTTTTCCATTCCATATTTGAATTCATGTTACATCATTAATGAATTTTAAACTCATTAATTCAGTTTTTAATATAAATTTCAATTCAGGTCATTATTTTAATGAAATTTTAACTCATTCAATCCTTAAATTTCAATTAGTTTTAATTCATTATTTTAATGACAGTTTAATTCATTAATTCCATTTTAGTTCTAAATTTTAATCTGTTTGAACTCTAATAAATTGTTCATTATTTTGGTTTTCCATTCTAAATTTGAATTCATTTTACCTCATTAATGAATTTTAAATTCATTAATTCAGTTTTTAATTTTAAATTTCAGTACATTTTCATTAATTTAACAAAATTTTGACGCATTCAATTTTTAACTTTAAATTTCAGTTAGTTTCAATTCCTTAATTTTAATTAATTAATTCAGTTTTAATTTATTTGAACTCTAATGAATAATTCAGGTTTTAATTCTAAATTTGAATTCATTTTACCTCATTAACGAATTCTAAATTCATTAATTCTGTTTTTAACTTCAAATTTCAATTCATTTTAATTCATTAATTTAATGAAATTTTAATTCATTAATTCAGTTTTACTTCTAAATTTGAAATCATTTGAACTCAGTGAATTTTTAATTCATTCAGTTTTTAATTTTAAATTTCAATTCATTTTAATTCATTAATTTAACGAAATTTTAATTCATTAATTCAGTTTTACTTCTAAATTTGAAATCATTTGAACTCAGTGAATTTTTAATTCATTCAGTTTTTAATTTTAAATTTCAATTCATTTTAATTCATTAATTTAATGAAACTTAAATTCATTTATTCAGTTTTTTTATTTCAGGTTTTACTGATTTTGATTCAATAATGTAATGAAATTTTAATTCATTAATTCAGTTTTAAATTGCAATTCGTCGTAATTCACTAATTTAATGAAATTTTAATTCATTAATTCAGTTTTTAATTTAAATTTTCTGTCATTTCAAGCCATTAATTCAATTATTAATTTTAAATTTTAATTTGTGTTAAGTCACTAATTTAATGAATTTCCACACGGTGCTTTGCTGTGTGTGTTTCTAATAGAAGTGCTCCAATTATTGAACTTTAATGTCTATAAAACTCTTACAAAAATTCTTATAAAGAATTTTTTATAAAAAGTCTTCATAGAAGAATTTTTAATAATAATTTTAGAAAGAGTTTTAACAAAGGGGTTTTTTTAATAAAGATTTTTATAAAACTTATAAAAGAATTGATGATCAGTGAATTTATTCATCGTTCCCTTAACTCCCAATTTTCCGTGCAGGTTTTTCAATGAGGGAAAAAAGAAGAGCGATTCCAAAGAGTGAAATGGTTCAAAGGTCTAAAAGGTAAATTTGAGGAGATTTAATTCCAGGTGGGAAAAGGAAATCGGTGAGATCCCACCTGGAATAATCCCTCCGGCTCCGGGTTCTCCTGCGTAAGGAGGACGTGGAATTGTTGGAGCGAGTCCAGAGGAGGCCACGAGGTTGATAAAGGGACTGGAGCCCCTTCCCTATGGAGACAGGCTGGGAAAACTGGGAATGTTCAGCTGGAGGGGAGGAGGTTCTGGGAAGATCTTCCAGGGATTTCCAGTGTGTGGAGGGGATCCAAGGAAACCGGAGAGAGACCCTTCCTCTGGAAATGCAGTGACAGGACAATGGGAATGGCTTCAGACTGAAAGGGGGGACATTTGGGTTGGATATTGGGAAGGAATTCTTCCCTGGGAGGGTGGGGAGGGGCTGGGATGGAATTCCCAGAGAAGCTGTGGCTGCCCCTGGATCCCTGGGAGTGTCCAAGGCCAGGTTGGAGCAACCTGGGAGAGTGGAAGGTGTCCCTGCCCATGGCAGGGGCTGGAATGAGATGGGCTTTAAGGTCCCTTCCAACCCAAACCATTCCATGATTCCATGATTAAAGGAAGATTTGGGGAATGAGATGGGCTTTAAGGTCCCTTCCGAGCCAAACCATTCCATGATTCCATGATTAAAGGAAGATTTGGGGAATGAGATGGGCTTTAAGGTCCCTTCCAAGCCAAACCATTCCATGATTCCATGATTAAAGGAAGATTTGGGGAATGAGATGGGCTTTAAGGTCCCTTCCAAGCCAAACCATTCCATGATTCCATGATTAAAGGAAGATTTGGGGAAGGTTCAGCAGCAGCACATTATTGAAAACACTACAATTTGGGAAAGCTGCCTAAGTAGCTTTAATCAGGTTATTCCTGGGATAAAATCCTGCCGTGGATGAACGGACACATCACTGGGAATCAGCAAAACCAGTGTGGAAAATCCCTGGAATTATTCTGTCCAGAAGATATTGAGGCTCTGCCTGTTTCAGCTGAGTGACTGTATCAGCTGCATGATTATTTTAATGTCATAAATATTGCTTTTGGGAGGTGCTGCTTGGAAGAGGAAGACTTTATGGGATGTGGGAATTTCCTGTCTCACAGCTCTGTATTCCACATTTTCCCCTGGAAACCCTCAAATAGATTTTTCAGGCATGTGCTTGGCCAGGAGCCTTTAACAGAACATGAGCATAAAACAGAGAATGTTTTTTTTTTTAATATCATTAAGTCCCAAATCACTATTTATGGCTTTTTTTTTTCCCCTTTACCTTTCAGGATCTATGAGCAGCTTCCAGAGGTGAGGAAGAAGAGGGAGGAGGAGAAGAGGAGGCTGGAATACAACTCGTACCGCCTGAAAGCACAGCTCTACAAAACAGTGGGTGTTCTGCTCCAGGACATTCCAGGGTGTTCTTCCCAGAACTCACAAATAGAGAGGAATATTTGCTAAGTGGGAATCCTGTGGTTTTGGAATTTTGGGGGGTTAGGCTGTACTGGGATTTAATCAGGGTCAGAGAAGCCAAGCTTAGGAAACCCAAAATCCTAAAATAAGCAGAGGAGCCTCATTTGGCCCCTTGGAGAAGGGAATCTCCAAAAATGACCATCCATGAGCTTCGTCTTCCTCTTAATAAGGCCTGATCATGGAATCATGGAATGGTTTGGGTTGGAAGGGACCTTAAAGATCATCCAGTGCCACCCCCTGCCATGGGCAGGGACACCTCCCACTAGCCCAGGTCACTCCAACCTGGCCTTGGACACTTCCAAGGGATGGAACAGCCACAGCTTCCCTGGGAATTCCACCCCAGCCCCTCACCACCCTCCCAGGGAACAATTTCTTCCCAGTATCCACCCTAAATTTCCCCTCTTTCAGTCTGAAGCCGTTCCCCCTTGTCCTGTCCCTCCATCCCTTGTCCAAAGTCTCTCTCCATCTTTCTTGTCGCTCCTTCAGGTCCTGGAAGGTCACAATCAGGTCACCTCAGAGCCTTTTCTTTTCCAGGCTGAACAATCCCAGTTCTCCCAGTGTTTCCTCACAGCAGAGCTGTTCCATCCCTGTCACCTGGACTCCTCTGGGCTCACTCCAGCAGCTCCATGTCCTCCCTGTGCTGGAGACCCAAAAGATGAGGAACCACAAACTCTTTGTAGGACAAACACTGAGCTTTAAACCTGACTTATTTCACTTTTAGCATTATGACTCTTTCCTGGCTGAGTTATTCCAGCCAGAGCCTGGGAAATTAGTTATTCCAGCCAGAGCTGGAATAATAATTTTGTTGGGAACAGCAGTAATTGGATTTTAAAAGTCAGGGCTTGTAACTCAATGTATTATCCAGAACACCTTTTCAATGTGATTGTGGGGATTCTCCACCAGAAGTACTTGGATTTGATGCTGTATTTTTTGCAGGGTATTTTCAGGACATATTTTTGTCAGCAGCCTGAAAATTCCAGGTGCTGGTACAGTAAAGTTTGAGGAGTTAATGAATGCTGGAAGTCATTGACTTGGAATAGCAGAGTCAGCTGGAAGCAGAGAGGGAATAGGATCAGAAGTTTTGGATATCAATGTGGTTTTGATTGGAAGATGCTGATTCATGGCAGTAAATAATTGGAATATTGTACTTTTCCTTGCTGATGCAGAAGAGCTGCCATGAGCAGCTGCAAATACAGGGAATGGTTTGTTTGGGATGTGGTTGATGTGTTGCTGAGAGCACCAATTCCGTGCACGGATTGTTCACGAGATAAAGAACGACAGATTTTGTGGAATGACTCCAGAAATGAGGCAGGGAATTAGGGGGAGAAAAGAGATGGTACCAAAAATACACAAGGAATGTGTTTGATCTGGGGTTTTGTGGGATTTAGGGATCCACTGTGCCCAAAGTATGGTCTGAGGGTCTCTCTGGGAATGTAGAACAGCAGGTCTGGGCTCTGGAGCAGAGCTGGCTCCTGTTTGAATTCCTGTCACCTGGAAGAGCCCTTTGTGCCTCAGTCCAACCCAGCAGGGGACAGTTCCTTTGGGATATATCCAGAGAAAGTCTGGGAAGAGAGAGGGAAGAACAGAGTCAGGTTAGTGTGGGGTCAGTGCTGGAGCTGGGCATGGTCCTTGTATTCTCTGCCTGCCTGGGAAATGCCCAGTGACAGGAGCTGTCCCTAAAATCAGAGAATCATGGAATCATTCGGGTTGGAAAAGGCTTCTAAGATCATCCAGTCCAACCATCCCCCAGCACTGCCAAGGCCACCACTGACCCGTGTCCCCAAGTGCCACATCCACGGGTTTTTGGAACACTTCCAGGGGTGGGGACTCCACCACTGCCCTGGGCAGCCCATTCCAAGGCCTGACAACCCTTTCCATGAAGAATTTTTCCCTAATATCCAACCTAAACCTCCCCTGGCACAGCTTGAGGCTGTTCCCTCTCCTCCTGTCCCTTGTTTTTTGGGAGCCCCCCCCAGCTCCCCCCTCCTGTCAGGGAGTTGCAGAGCCAGAAGGTCCCCCCTGAGCCTCCTTTTCTCCAGGCTGAGCCCCCCCAGCTCCCTCAGCTGCTCCTGCTGCTCCAAGAGTGGGATTCTCCAGCATTCCAGAGGATGTGTGTGTCTCTGCAGGGCCTTGAGGGCTCACAGGGGGTGATTAAAATTTGGGAAAGGAAGCAATGAATTAATGAATCTCATTCCAACCCCCTGCCATGGGGACACCTTCCACTATCCCAGGTTGCTCCAAGCTCTGTCCAACCTGGCCTTGGAGACTTCTTGGGAATAACAGTCTTAATGTCCAGGTTGAGGGATGAGCTGAAACTGAGTTTGTTTGACTCCAAGAGCCCAAATCAGTGAATACATATGAACAAAATTTGCTTACTTTTTGTAAAGCCCGAGTGAAAATATTCCCACGGGACACCTGGGAAAGTTTAAGGCTCTCAGGGCTTGTTTTAAGACATTTCTGTGACAATTTTAAGGCATTTCTGGCTCAGAGGGAGGTGAAGAGAGAATAAAAAACCAGTTTTGTTGGCCCTGAGTGAGGATGGGATTGTTGGGCTCACACAGAACCAGAGACATCAGAATTCCTGGGCTAGGAAGTGGCTCAGGGTTGCACAGACATTCCTAATTTCTGAAATTGTGAAATAATTATCTTTATTAAGATAGCAGAGTTATTTTTGTCACGGGGTGCACATGGATCTGGGCTGATGTTCTGCCCCAGCATCCCTTTGCTTTTGTACTTTGAATTTCAAATAAAATCATCCCAGTCAGAGCAGGGAATGGGCCTTAAATTTGGAAAACTCTGGAGTGGGAACAGATTCCTGATCTGATGGTGGCAGAAATCAGAACTCTCTGAGCCCCTGTGAAGCAAAAATGGATTTTATGAGTTTATCAGATACAAATTTTATCCATAGCTGAGCCTTTTCCACTAGAATGGAGCGAGTTTGTAATTTTAATAAATAGGGAATATGGGAAAAGCCTCCATAAAGGGGATAACAATTGATTTCTGTGCTTCTCTCTATCCCTTAAAAAAAAAGCAACACAATATTAGCACTGAGGAGCCTTATTTTATTTAAGAAAGGGACCACAAGGTGTCACTGCCCCAAAGGGAAAAGCACTTTGTTCTGGAACTGGGAGACAATTCCACAGCAGATTTGGGAAGATTTGGGAGCTCTGAGGAATAATGGGAGGTGTAAGGGGAAAAAATCATGGAATCACAGCCTGGTTTGGGTTGGAAGGGACCTTAAAACCCATCCAGCTCCACCCCTCCACCAAATATTCTGTGTTTGTTTGTTCTTTTCAAATTTATTACCTTTTTCTTTTTAAGCTTATTTTTGGAAGAGTTTGGAAATAACTTTTCGCCTTCAGGATTGTACAAGACTTCCATCTCCTCCCCTTCATCCTTCCCAGCAGATTCCGAATTTACTCCACTGTTTGTTGTAGAAAACACTTTCTGTACCTTCCACTGCTCTTGTTACTCTTCTCCCGGGTCCTTTCCTAAATACATCACAAATCTGGGAACAGGTGACTCCCAGAAGTTTCTACTCAGCAGGTGAAAGGAAGACATGATCATGGATATTCAGCTAATTCCAAGATATTTTGTATTTGTTTAGGCTTGTTCCTGACCATTCCCACAGCAGCCAGCATGGGATTATCCTGCTTTTTTTTCATGGGAATGAGTGAGAAACAACTGGGCTACTTTAGGTGTCCTAAAAGGTGTAAATAAATCCTCATTTTGTAGTGTTTTATTACCCTTTAATTCCCAGGTTGGAGCATCCTGGTCTAGTGGAAAGTGTCCCATGGCAGGGGGTTGGAACTGGATGGGCTTGAAAGTCCCTTCCAACCCAAACCATTCCTTGATTCCGTGATATTCTGTTCAGAAAACTGAGGAATATCTCCCTGCTCAGCATTTGGAACCTTCAAAGCACCAAAACTCATCTCTTGTCTCTCTTGTTTTTCCCTGCAGAAAATCACCAACCGTGTCTTAGGGAAGAAGGTGCCTTGGAACTGATGGAATGATCCCTTCAAACCAACCTGGGGTGTTCCAGCACTTGATGGGGAAGAGGCAAAAATGCAGGGAAATGCTCCCACAGCTCCAATTTTTGTGGTATTGGGTCGCTTTTGTACTGATCTAATCTTGCCCTATTTAAGAATCAGTGATTTGGGATGAATGTCAGGGTTTTAAACAAATGCCTGGGGGGGTTTTGTAGTGGTTTTAAGCACTTCCAAAGTCAACACAGTCTGGAAAAACTCAGTTCATAATATATTTCTAGCTCCCTGATTGGAATAGAAGCTTTATATATTTATTTTCAGTGGGTTTGAACAATGATTTTTATTATTATTATTATTATTATTATTTTTTTAATTCCTGTCTTGTAGAAAATTTACTTGTTTTGTACCGCAAAAAAAACCCTCAATAAAACACCTGAGTTGTAGTAACTGTTGCAGCTTGTCTGGGTATGAAGCTGGAGAGTCTAATCAGGGGTATTTTTGAGGATTTGGGGAATTTTTTAGACCTTTCCTGGGAGAATCACCTCCACTTGATGAGCTGGTTGTGTCCTGCTTGGTTGTTCCTTTAACCAGCATCACTTCAAAGATAAAATACAGAGGTTGTGGTTCTTGGTGATAAAATCTTAGTGATATTTTTTTGTCACTGGGGAGTTCAGGTGATGGATAAACAGGAAAACACATCTGAGGCAGAACAAAGTGGGTGTGAGCTGTGGTTTCCTATTTGCTCTGCCTCAGATGTTCTCAGTAATTCAGTTCAAGAGGAGCAGTTTTGAGGGAACACCCAATTCTGTGGAAACTGAGGCACAACTCGGAGATTGAAGGTTCTGGAGAGACCTTCCAGCACCTTCCAGGGCCTGAAGGGGTTCCAGGAGAGCTGGAGAGGGACTTGGAACAAGGGATGGAGGGACAGGACAAGGGGGAATGGCTTCATAGTGGAAAAGGGGAGATTTAGGGTGGATATTGGGAAGGAATTGTTGGCTGGGAGGGTGGGCAGGCCCTGGCCCAGGTTGGGCAGAGAAGCTGTGGCTGCCCCTGGATCCCTGGAAGTGTCCAAGGCCAGGTTGGAGCAACCTGGGCTAGTGGAAGGTGTCCCTGCCCGTGGCAAGGGGTGGAATGAGATGGTCTTGAAGGTCCCTTCCAACCCAAACCAGTCTGGGATTCTGTGATGAACAGGTCAAAAAAAAAATGTTGGGAAGTGGGAAGATCTCCTTTCATGGAGGTGATGGAACCTGCACAGCCCCTCCAGGGTGGGCTTTAAGCTTCAGGGAGGCCTGTTGCTGTGCAGAGAGTGACCCAGAAAGGGAGAAGATCATGGAATCTGGGCTGGAAGGGACCTTCAAGCCCCTCCAGTTCCACCCCTTCCATGGGCAGAGACACCTTCCACTATCCCAGGTTGGTCCAAGCCCTGTCCAACCCGGCCTTGAGCTTGAATTTGCTCCTTCCACTTCTCCTTGGGATCAGTCTGGATCACTGCTTTGCCTTTGGGAGTCTCTTCCAGGGTTAGAAAGCAGCTTTCCGTGTTCCTGAAGAAGGTGCTGAAACTTGCTGGTGCTGGATTCTCTGCTACAGGGATGGACTTGTTCCCTGGGACAAGAAATTGGGATGTCTTGGAGTCCTGACGAGATCTCACCTCACTTTGAGCTCCTTTAAGGCCACTCAGCTGCTTAATTCTGCTTTTAGCTTTGAAATGATGAAAAATCAAGGGAGCTGAAGGGCTTTGATGATGGAAAAGCCTTCTGAGGTCGAGTCCAAGCATTCCCAGCACTGCCAAGGCCACCACTGACCCACGTCCCCAGGTGCCACATCCACAGGGCTTTGAAATCCCTCCAGGGATGGGGACTCCACCCCTGGACCAGGGCTCGTTTCATCACCCTTTGGGTGCTGAAATCTTCCCCCAAAATTGGTGGTGGGGGGGAGTGTTATCATCCATCCTTCCCTCGATTTCCCTCCCTCGGGGATTCTGGTGAGGGTGACTCACCCCCATTCCATTGCCGTTGGATAAACCTCGTGCTGGATGCAGAGCATCCAGTGTTTACAGTTCTGGGCAAGGAGACTGTTGACATTTGGAGTCGCTGCTTCCAACCCTCCAAACTCCATTCCAAAAACTCAGGAAATTGTGCTTGGCCTGTGTTGATTCCAGAGTGGAGTCATCCCTTCTTAACCCGCTGTACACAAAGGCTTTTGGGGGAAGTTCTGCAAATTTTTGAGAGCTCAGTGAGGGCAGAACTGATTTTTTTTGACCCCTGCAGGAACAGATTTTTGCTCTTAAGTAGTCAGGAATGTTCTTGGATCAACACCTCCCCTCACAGTGATTGTTGTGTGTCCACAACCTCAACTGGAGGTGGGAAATCTCATGGATGAGGTGGACAAACAAGGAACTGGAAAAGAGGTATAAAAAAATCCACCTTGTGCTTTGAAACTTTAAAATAAGAGGCTTTTTTTGCCCTTCTGGAACATCTTCCACTTCCTCTTCCATGACCATTTCCACCAGTTCTCCCTGTTGTGCTGTAAATTCCATCCTGAGGGACTCAGTCCTGATCCTTTTGGAGTAACATGGTCAGTCCTCTGGTTTTTGGTGGGTGTTTTTGGAGTCCTTCCTATGGAGAACTACTCAAATTTGTTTGGATGTTTTTGGAATCCTTCCTAAGGAGAACCACTCTCCAATTGGTTTGGATATTTTTGGAATCCTTCCTATGGAGAACCAATCTCCAGTGGGTTTGGATATTTTTGGGAATCCTTTCCATGGAGACCATTCTCTAATGGGTTTGGATATTTTTGGAGTCCTTCCTAGGGAGAACCACTCTCCAGTTGGTTTGGATATTTTTGGAATCCTTTCCATGGAGAACCACTCTCCAGTTGGTTTGGATGCTTTTGGAATCCTTTCCATGGAGAACCCTTCTCACATCAGGCACTGCTGGGGCTTGAGTGGATGTTTGGGACACGTTCTCTTATTGCTGGTAACGAGAAAGAATTCCTTGGAAATCTGTTGGAATGAGGATGTAAAATTAGAGCTGGAGTGCCCGATTTCCTTGGAAAAGGAAGTTCCTCTCAGAATTTAATCATGTTACCAGACATCTGCCTGGATGTGGCCTGGTCCAGTGTGGTGGCTGCTGGAGGACTCTTCCCAGAAGGAATTCCGGTGGTAAATTTGTAGGAGAACACAATGGGACGACTTGGAAGAGAAGGAGACAGGGAAGGATTTTCCCTGTGGAACAGCAGGTGAGGAAATCACTTCCTCTTCTAGAATTCCAGAGGATTTGGGCTGGAAGGGGCCTTAAAGACCATCTAATTCCAACCCCCTTCCATGCTCATCTAAAATTAGATGAATTATAGACTTTATAGACCTTTGATCAGACCTCCCTTAACTCCATCTAATTTTTTTCTGCGAGCGCATCCTGGTTTATAATTCCCTTTTCCTGAAACCATTCCCTGATGAAGACATGACTTCCTGGCTGGCTGTTCATTAGTGCAGATCAAGCTTTTAATCCACTAAAGCAGATCTTAATATATTGTTTCCTTCCTGCTGCACTTACGAGCCGGGCGACCGTGAAGTCATCGGGCGACCGTCGTCGGCTCGGGGTGGGAATTCTTCCCAGCCTCTGGAAATGGGGAAGGCTCGACTCTTTCACACGAGCAGGGTTTGAAAGTCAAGCTTTTATTAATATTTCTCTCCCTACATCAGCAGATAAACCGAATTCCCCGGGTCAAAGGAGCCCCTGAGGGCGGGTGAAGGACCCCGGCGTGACAAATGGAAGCCGCGGTGATTAATGCGCTCCTGGAAGGCGCTCAAATTCCACGGGGATGAGGACACTTGGGAGAGGTCTCCCTAGGAAAAAGGGTGTTTTTTTTTTTAATCCAGTCCAACTTTATCCGTGTGTCCGTGTGCTGCAGCCCTGTTGCTTCATCAGAAGCTGCTTCAAACTTGTCTTCGTGATGTAGAAGAGACTCCAGAAGTTGTGGTTTCCCTACCTGAGGTGGATTCGGTGCATTCCATGAATCCCCCTGCTGGTCCCAGCTAAGCCTCCCTGAGTCATCTGCTGAGGAGCCAGCCCTGACCTTCCTCTGGACAGGGATGAGCCCCCTGAGACTTCCCAGTTGGATCTGGAGGAGATGACACTCCAGCTGTGGGCTCCTCAATGCCCACTCAAGTTCCTGTGACATGACGTGTGGATGGAACTGTCATTTTAAAAGATTGTGTGAATTTTGGTCTGAAGAGACTTTTTTGGGGGGGTCTGTCAGGGCAAAAGTTTTTATGAGCAGCAGAAAGGTGTTTTACTAGAGAAGGGAACGGAGCTGGAGAAGGTTCTGGAGCAGCTGAGGGAGCTGGGGGGGCTCAGCCTGGAGAAAAGGAGGCTCAGGGGGGACCTTCTGGCTCTGCAACTCCCTGACAGGAGGGGGGAGCCAGGGGAGGGTCGGGCTCTGCTGCCAGGGAACAAGGGACAGGAGGAGAGGGAACGGCCTCCAGCTGTGCCAGGGGAGGGTCAGGTTGGACATCAGGAGGAATTTCTTCATGGAAGGGCCTGGGGAGTGTTGGAGTCCCCATCCCTGGAGGTGTCCCAGGAAGGCCTGGCCGTGGCACTCAGTGCTCTGGGCTGGGGGACAAGGTGGGCACCGGGCACAGGGTGGACTCCATGACCTTGGAGGTCTTTTCCAACCTCAGCGATTCCACGATTCTGGGATTCTGTGTCACGACTGAGCGTGTCCTTTGCGAAGGTCCCGTGACAGGTGAAGAGTGAAGGTGTTTGAGCTGATGGATCAGCGAAGCCCCAAAATGTGGGTGCCCAGGATCACCCCTCCCATGCTGTGTGTCCCTGTCCTGGCTGCCTCTGTCATGACTATGGAGGAATTCCTGGGAGCACCCTGAAAACGGATACCAAGAGCCTCTCCTTGTCTGTAATTCCCTGGTTGTGAGTGATTCCCAGCCCTACTTCCCACGTGCTGCTCTTGGCTCGCTCCAGGCTGCAGGAATCCCCCAGTTTGGGCTCAGCTGCCAGGCTGTGACCCAGCTGCAGGTCCTGGTCGGGTGCCACAGCTTCTGTTGGCTTTTGTCAGCAGGGATATCAAGTGATCCAGGCTGGAGGCACAGGAACGACGCCTGTTCCTCCACACAAAAAGGCTTTTATAGGGCCTGGATCACCCCCAGCTGCTGCTCCAGCCCCATGTAGGGCCCGTGGGCTTCACATCCCAAGCTCTGCTCACATTCCCTGTGCTGGTGGGAAGCAGAGAAATTTCTGCCTGGTTGAGGAAGTGGAGGAATGAGGAAAAATGTCCCGTGTCGTGGAGCAACGGTGAGGCCACATCAGAGCCTGTTGGCTGCCCTGGGTTTCCTTCTTCCTGCTCCATCCCACCCCTGGCTCACCCCTCCTGGAAAGCCCTTCCCAGCTCCCTGCCTCGTCCCTCTGGACCTTGATGGTTTCCTGATGGCCAAG